TAAGCTTTTCAATCAGTTTCTTTCACTGAATGTATTTTTTTTCTTAGAATTAGTAGTGGAGCTCTTCTAATTTCAAAACATGTTGTTAGCCTTTGCCTGCCTATCTTCTTGTCCCCCTCTTCTTGGAAGAAGAGTTCTCTTCTGGAGAACCTTTTGTTGCTTGATGTTAGCCAAAATAGATGAGAACAAATCTTGAAGAGAAACGTGTTTCCACATGCTTTATGAAAATTGGCTTGCAGATCAGAGGTTCATTAGGGTTCATTAGCGTTTGGGGTCAGCCACAGACCATGGTGTTTGCTGGCAGCTGGTGAGCGTCTGGGATCTATGTGCTCGCTGGCAGTCAGCCTTGGGTAGCTCCAGGCTAACCACAGCTCATGCTGGCGCTTGTCTGGAGGGCTGGCAAAACAGAAGCAGGCTGGGGGTGTAGGGATGGGAGGTGAAGGTCTTGCAGGGGGAAGGAACAAGAAAAGGTAGGTTGGGAGTATTGCAGTGGTGGAGGTGTTGGGGACTTGGGCAGGAAGGCAGCAGGAACTGAAGTGACTGTATGGGGAGGAGGAAGGCAGGGCTGGGTGGGTCCGATTGAGAGAGGGATATGTGACTTAAATACCTAGGAAATCAGGCTCTGCTTGCTCCGGGGTTCACAGGACAGCTTGCTGATTACCGTGGGTGCTCTGACCGGGCATTTAGTTTGGAATGTGCCAAGCCTGATGATGTCTAATAACGTAAAAGTATAAAGGATCAGCTTGTGAGTCTCCAGCAGCCCTTTTTCTATTTCACCATAAAACTTGGGCTTTTTTTGGTAGCCCTTCCTTGGTCTATCCCTAGCTTATTTTGTCCTAATATTTGAACCCCCTTGTATAAAAATCTTTGTAACTAAGCAGGGAATCCCTACTATTCAGTTGTCAACTTTCTTCTGTTCCAAGCCTGGAAATTGTTGCTGCTTGTTCTCAGGTGTTTCCAAATAGCGTATGTTCACCTGCCTAGTAGTGATGGAGTAGTTTGATAGATTTGATGGGACACTTAATCGCCTCATCCAAGCAAAGAGTAGAAAAAATGCTTATGCAGATTATTCTTGAAATTTAGGAAGAACTTATGCAGAGTTAGCATTAACTCTGATAGTGCAAACAGTGCCAGGAGCAATTTTATAGGCCTGTCTTTGGTGTCTTAACACTGTGTTCTTTAAGGCTGCTAAAAATTTAGTCTATGAGACCCCCCTGGCAACAGGCAGTCGGCTGATGTTACCTGCCCTTCATGGGTGGGATTATTTAAAAAGTACTCTCCTCATTCCCTGTCTCCCAGCTGCACCATTCCTTTCTATGTTCTTTTACGACTTTCTGATTTTTGTTACTTCCACAGTTTGTTTGTGTTGGGGCTGAAATATTTTCACATCAGAATTTCTCAATCCAGTCCTTGATCGACTGTCTCTTTCAGTTGTTAATTGGCATTGCAGATGTTTGATTGCATTAACAAACACTCCAGATGCATTCTTTGTTGGCTGTACACAGTAAGCTATAGAATTATGTTACTCAACCCATTATTGTGATATGCCTACTAACAACATCAGTGAATTCGGCCAAATGTTTGTTTCTGGGCTGCTATTTGCATGAAATTGCTTAATTTTCCTGTTCTGGGATGAGGATTGTGCCTTTTGGCACCAGGCAATGTCACGTTCATCACCTGCATAACTAAGCTTGATTTGCTTTGATATATTTTTTTTTTTTCAGTGCGGAGCAGATTGAGGGATATAGTGGGAGCATCTACCAACTGGAGGTACAGTGTACACTAAACGTATTTTACTTTACTTGTGAAGCCCAGAGACAGCTCAGGATTGTGGTAGTGGAAGTTAACGATGTTAGCCTGCTGACTGGGGAAGAAAAAAGATCCAAGCTAAAAAGTGATGCAAACAAGGTTTCTGAATTGTTACTTTGTGGATCACAGACTTCTGAGACTTCTCTTGCAGAAGATCTTTAGCACCAAAGGAACAAAACACAGGATCTTGATGCTTACAAGCTTCTCCCATTAGCTTTGAATCTGATGGAAATTTAAGAGCTGTAGAGTCTGACTGGACATGTTATGTTGCTGTTACCTCTTGATTTATCTGTTGGTGGATTACCCATGTGGTGTATTTGTTCTGCGCTGGATTCAGAGGCAACTAAGCTGGTTCAGCATGAAGCAGGCTGCATTATGAATGGCCTGGCAGCACCCATGTCACTTTGGAAAACTGTCAGCTTGAGGTCTGTGTCTCCTTAATCAGGAGCATCTCAGGCATTTCTTTTCTTTGCTGTAACTTAATTTTAGATGAGTTTACATACAATTTAAATAAATCATTGATGTTTTGGCTTTCTGCAGGTTCCTTCCTTCCTCCCCCTCCATTATGTTGAATAAAGTAGTGTTGACTGTAATCCTCTACTGTTAACAATTCTGAATAAGTCAGTATAGCAGCCCAGGGACATTACACATTGCTGTTTGGTTGATCCTGTATTTATTGTATTGATTGTTGATTATCTTATGGCTGTGTTTGCTGAGCTCTTGTTGCACACTTTGTGCACTGACGGGGAAATGGAGAGGCCTGTCTGGATGGAATGTCTGATGTGCAGGCCTTCTGACTAGGTCTATCTAAACAGGATTGTATATAAGAAGATGCCTGTATCTGGGAAGCTGATTTTTGCATAGTAATACTGGTATCTAAGCATGAGGGGGCTTGACGTTTTTGGTAGGTCAGCTGAAAAGGGCTCTAGAAATTGATTTTTTTAAAAAAGGCTTTCCTGCAGCCCAGAATGTCTGGGCAGGAACCGCGCCGTATGGAAATACCATCCTGGGATCAAGATTTGAGAGGGCTCTGACCAAATCTGATCTTCCATCCGTATCTTTTCACCCACTGCCCCCACCCTGGAAGAAGAGCAGACTGAAGCCAGGATCACAACAGCAGTTTTTTTTCTTAGATAGATACATCTCTTGTGCTATATAAAATACAGCAGAAGTGATTTGCTGAGTACTGTATACTTCAACCACCATGAAGAAGTAAAGCCAAGAGCCCATAGCTGGGAGTGCTTGAGAATGACGAGTTTAATATAGGAAAGTTTGGAGGACGTGGGTCATGTAGCCTTTGAGATCCTGCTTTTAAAATGGAGTGACAAAGAGTTGATACACATGGAGACTGAACAGCCTGTGCTTTAATCGAGTTAGACCACAGAATGACTAAAGAGGACACACCTGAGATAATAGCTTGATAGGTCCCAAAATGGGAACTAGGGAAGGACTGATGCATGTACATCTGGATTGCTGGGAGAGTGGAGAGATGCATGTTGGAGGAACGCCTTTGGCTGGTAATTTTGCTAAAAGGAAACTTTGGTTTGTCATTTCTCTTGTAAAGGCCAGTGGCATTTTGTATTAGAAAGAAATATCTTGCTTATATATCTATTCTGGTTTTGTACTTAAATTGTATTTAAAACTATTAATCTGTTCATTGCTAATTATAGTCTAAATAGTGTTGTGGCCATTTCAGAAATAAGTTCAGGGCAGGTATTAGTTAATACTTAGATGAAGTATTGTTACTGTATGACTGGTACTGCAGTGTGTAACAGTATTTATCTGTTGAAAAATGTTATTGCCTTGAGCCTAATACTTCCGTATATTGAAGCATACATTCTGAAGCTGAAGTCAAGAAGAGTTGTGCTGCTGACCTCAGAGGAGCCAGGATGGTACTGGTGAAAACAGAATATAGCTAATTTTTTGTTATTTGGTTTCTCTGTGTTTGTAGACAAATTTCTGATTTACACTCTGATTAATTTCTTAAACCTTTCACTGAAAGATCTTGGAAACAAATCTTTTAAAAAGCATAAAGGTGCATCATCTTGGCCATTGCATCTTTCCTTAGTCATTTAGTATATTCTATTTCTATGCAGTGGCATAACTACAAACATTAACCCTCTGGAGAAGGTTGTTATCTTTCTATTTTCTCTGAACTCTGCAGTAGTCATGTTGCTCAGATGAGGTAAACCATATTTCATATTTAAAACAAACAAACAAAACTAACTGAAATTTTCTGCTAGACTTTTACTCTCTTTGGTCATGGATTATTCATATTTCCCCAAAAATTACTAAACAGAAAGAGGGACTATAAATGTGTTGAAGTGTGACTGCTTTGTGCCTCTCCTTTTCCAAAAGTAAAACTCAAGCCAAAAAAGTCTTCATCTTAAATGGCTAATACCCAGAATTCATCCAAAGGCAAAACTTACGACAAATTTTCTTTTTGGTGAAAAGGTTCTTTCTGTTGTTTTCTTTCTTTTTTTTTTTTTTTTTTTTTTTTTTTTTTTTTTTTTTTTTTTTAATTGGTTTTGTTAATCACACTCAGCTCTCAGCAATGCAGCATGCACAACTGAATGAATGGCACATATCCACAAGTTTAAAATTAAGTTTGGTTACTTAGTGTTTTATGCCTTCTCTTGTTCAATGAAATGGATTCATAGGTTTGCATACTCCTTGGCTTTATACTGGAACTGTGGCATGTTTAACCCTTAGATTTTTAATGCTTTGTTGTTGATTCTAGGGATGTTATGAAATTCTTGCTTTGTTCAGTCAGGTTGCGCTTTTAAGGGGAGGGAACTTTGGAGGAACAGGTAAGAGAGTTTGGGCAAGATTGTTATATCTCGCAGATACCTGTGCAAGGAACCAGTTTAGTAGATTGGAAAGAAGTGACAGTAAATTGGCTCTTAATCTCTTGTGAGGGTTGCAACCCCTCTGACTTGGTGGTGCTGGAAAAGCAGCTCCGAAGGGGTGGTGCTCCCTTTTCTGTATTGTTTCTTTCTGTAACTTTCCTGTATAGTCATAAGATGACTGTGTAGGGAGAGAGAGAAAGAAACAGATTAAATTTCCCTTTCTTTTAGCTTGCTGATCAAGTGTATGCTGTATGAACTGATGCTGTAAAGGGAGAAGTCACCTGTGGATGGTAGCAAGTCTTAGCAGATTAGTTCGCTTTGTGGTTAGCACTAACCAATGCTATACATCTGCTTTACTTCTCCGGAGAGACTGTAAGTTGACAGTCAGTCCTTTGAAATTGGCATGTAGGAAGAGTGTACATACAGTAGCTATAGAAGACATGAATATGCACAAAACCTCATAAATTATGTCTGATTTGTTCTTTTCAAGGGGAACCATTTTGGTAGCATTCAGAATTAGATAAATTTTGTTCAACTCTCTAGTGCAAAGTATGTGCTTTCCACTTGTATGCAAAACTGCAGCAGTCCTGCTTGGCATATCTCATTATGTGCATTTCACTTTCTTTCCAAGGCACACTTACTGTGTCTTGCTATTTTTACTACATTTTTGTTTTCATTTTGATAATCTTCAGCATGACATCTTTTAGCTAGGGTTGCAGTTCTGTTGTCATACTCCAGACGGAGTGGGTTTGTTTTTTTTTTTTTTCCTTACCAGGGATCATGTGCAAGCAATGCAAGAAAGAAAAGCTCTTCATACTTTACTGGCAAAACGGCAGGAAGATCTCCCTCCTAGGAGAATGAAGGATAGCTACTTGGAAGTTATTCTGCCTCTAGGAAGTCAACCTGAAATAAGGGAGAAGTACCTGAATGTACACAACAGTGTAAGGTAACAAAGCACCATGTTACATGTACAGGAAAGTGTTAACTTTCATTTACTATGGATGTAGGTATTTCATTCTCAAAAAACGTTATCTTACAGGTTTGGAAGGATACTTGAAGATCTTGACAGTTTAGGAGGTATGTATCTATGCTCCTGTAAAGAATGCCCAAGTAATGCGGAAAAAGTGAATTTACTGTTGAGCACTGTTTGGTATGATACAGTATGACCTCAGGGAGGGAATCGCATCAGTGTGCTATCTCAGAGGGGAAGGAAAAAAAGAAAAGATACTGATGCTGAAAAAGAAGGAAGGATGATGTAGAACAGACAGAAGCAAAATTGCTCAGCTTCAGCTTCTTGCCTCTGCCAATTTTGTAAAGGACCAGCTGCAAGAATAATTTACTGAGAAATGATCCTAGATTATCAATCTGCATTGAGCGTTAAATCAGAGAAAATTTGCAGAGTGTGCTGTTTCAAATTAAAACATAGGATTTTTCTCTTAAAAAAGAAAAAAAACTGACAACACAAAACCCAACAGGTAGTGAGGTTCAAATATTTTAATCTTCCCTTTGGAGAGAAAAAGAGTATAACCTCAAAAGAACAGAATTTAGCCATTGAGAACAAATGAAAAACACTTGGTATAGATTCTTGGGTTCTGTCTCCAAATTGATGTTAAGGGTAAAAACAACTCAGTTGTTTGATGAGTTAGCTCTCTCAGTTTTTTTCTCCTTTTTCATTTGTTCATGGTCTTTAAATGTTCAAGATCTTTGACTTTTGTTTTGCAGCTAAAATAAGTGCTGGTTTGTTAATATAACTTGGAGATACTTTTAAAATGTCACCTGTTCACTTCCTTCTTCATCTAAGTTCTGTAGCTGGTTGGGAGCATTTTGATGGAGGTTTTTGACAAAGAATAAGTGCTTGTTAAGGTGAAGTTCTGAATGGAACAGGGATTTTTTTGCAGGAAAGAAAGACTTTCTGTGGGTCCAGATGGGCAAAATTAAGGAAGGCAGAGAAACAAGTAAATGCATGTCACCTATCTATCAAGGATAGACAAAATAGCTAGATGATTTCTATTTCTTTCTGGGATGTGGAAGATAGTGGTTTCAGCACCTGTCCTGAATTAGAAAAGGAAACTTGAAACTGTTTGGTACCCTCCACTGGGTAGATGAGATGAGCCTGTTTTTTATTCTGTGTCATGTTTATTTTCCCTGGAAATCTGTGAAGATCTTAGGTTTTTTCCTGTTACAGCACAGATGATCTTTGCCTTGTTTGTAGTCATCCTGGGCTTCAATCAGTTCCACTGGGGATGTATCATTTTGGGTTAATCAAGATTCTTGGGTTAATCAAGATTCTGTCCCAGTTACACAATATGCAGGATGGTGGTCAGCAGTTTTCACAGGAAAATGTACCGTTTCATCCCCTCCCCCAGTATATTCTATGGTCTTGGTAGATATATTGGAAATCTGTGTTGACACATGAGTACTAGAAAAAAAAAAAATCTTTGCTCCCTTGTATTACTCTAAGGAGTCTGTTTACTTGGATGTGCTCTTATAAGCAGAGCTAATTAATTTAAATAGTGACTTGGCTAGTAGTAATTACAGTGTGATAAATACCTCTGACTATGCTTTCATGCCTGTAAGGCACAGTTTATCTAGTCTGTGCTTCTTTAAAGGCATCAGTATTTGAAAATAAGTCCTCAGATAGCATGTATCCTTGGACAACCTGCATGAAATCAAAATAGAAGGTAGGAAAGATCTGAGACAGTAGGCTGTAGGGGTAGAGGGAAGAAATTATGCAGGATTGGGTTGATTTCAAGTGCTCAGCTAAATTTGTCTTTGTAGTAAGTAAATATGCATATAACTGAGACTGATGCTGAATCACTGTTTTCTTTATAGCAATCCTGTGAGTTACATACATGAAAATGCGGAAGTTGTGTGCACTCCTACAGTATAATACTTTAGTTTGTGTTTTGCAGGTACTTCTCATGCTTCACAAAGATGGCTTTGATCTGCTCCACTGAAGTTTTTGTTAAAGAGCTGACTCTGTTTTTGGTCTCTCCACAGTTCTTATTTGCTACACTCACACCAAGCAGGAAATGCAGCCAAGGTCTCCCTTATCAATAGTTACAGCTCTGGTGGATAAAATCAGTAAGTGGCAATTTGGTCAGCAGAAATGGTTTAATCTGTTTGTCTTATTCTTTCAGCAGCTACTGCCTTCCCATGGTTGTTGCTGAGGATACCTTCTTCCCTCTCCTGTTTTCTTCACTTCATCTTGTTTTGGCTTTGAACTCTGAGTACTGTGACTTTTGTTGAAGGGAGGAGAGAAGAGGGTTTTGTAGATGCCTTCCAGCATTTCATATTTCCCTTCCCTTAGAAATACAGCTTTCATGCTTCCTGCACTTCTGTGTTTGGTTTTATTTTGGCACGTGAGTTTCTTAGCTTCGTTACTGAACGGTGTTTGTTCTGGTGGAGTTGGACCTTGCTTGTGTGACATGTTCTGCTGAACACCTCTGTGGGTCTGCCATCCGTCTGCCAACTGTATGCCGCTTCCTCCTTCTGTTCTGGCTTTACAAGTCTGGTAAGGCAGAAACTGCAGGCTAACAGTATGGTCCCTTGCAACAACTGTCTTTTCTGGGTTGTCTTTGGATGTGTTGCCACTTGCAGAACACAAAAAAGTCTTAGAGAATCCAGTCTTTCTAATATTAGATATGAGTGATCTGTCCTCAGTAACCTCTGATGTTTGTCTTGTAGATTTGTGCAAGAAGATTATATATCCGGACTGTGACATAAAATTCACAGGCAATGTCTCTTGGGTTGGTAGGACCTCAATGGAAGTGAAGATGCACATGCTGCAGGTTAGTTCCTGTGACTTCTCTCCATCTTATGGCAAGCATGAGATGCTTTAGGGAGAATTCTGGATGATGACATCAGCAATCTAAATTACATTTCCTAGAGTAACTGTTTTTGAAAGGCTTGAGGCAGCCCTAGTGTTTCAAGACCAAGGTGACTTCCAGTAGTCTAGGTGCAGCAGGATACTCTGTTGCTAATCTTTCTTTCAAGACATGCATTTTTCCTAACCAACATTTTGTAATTAAACTGCAATACAGTACTCCTACAGAAAAAATAGGTGATTGTGCTCTGCATGTTCTTAAATAAGTTTCTGTCTGCTTTTGAAAAGCTTTATTTTCCATATACCTTTGTGTTTTACAGATTGATAAATTTTAATGCCGGTATTCAGATTCAGTGGGCTAAACTACAACACTCCTGTATTCATCTTAAGTACTGTACAGCATAGATCTTGTAATAAGTTATTAAATACTAAATAAATTAAATGAAGAGTGTAACTAGTTTACGCTGTTCAAGAAGCAGAAGGAGTATTAATAATTCCATTAAAAATCCCTAATGTTTCCATTGAATATTTACTGTCAGTTCATTAGTTAACTGAAACATTAATTCAGTTATTTAGTTATTTAGAGTAACAAAGATATGCTGTAGACACTTAAGTGGTATTAGCAGCTATAATTCAGATAAACAGGTAAATATTTTTTTTATTCAGTTGGTCTCCTTAAGTAAAGTCTCTGATGTAGAAGAAGATAATGTTACACCTTTATTGTCTGAATTGCTTGCAGTGCTGGCGTTAGTAGCAATTTGGTATTGACAAAAAAATGTTGTTTTGGCATTTCTCAGAATAAAGGGCAAGTGGGTCCTTTTACAATGCCTGTGTTGATTTCCTCCCTCCCAGCTGAAAGCAGTAGTTAATAAGCATTGCCTGCTTTAATGTTGACATTGCAGAATCCCCGAAACTTGAGTTTTAATTTGTGTTATTTCCTTCTCTTCGTCCTATTGTGAGAGATCTTGGAAGGCATGACAGAAGGTGAAAGTAAACACCATTAACAGTGTGATGGCATAGGTGATGTCAACTGAATGGCTTGCTAAGGACATGTACAATTTTAGAGTTTAAAAATATAATCGTTTCTTGTCTCTCTTAGCTACATGATGGTGATTACAGCCCTGTGTTAGATGCAACCTTTGTCATGGTGGCCCGGGATCCAGAGAATAAACGGTAATTTGTAGGACAGGAAAATAGTTTTCAGACTCCTGCTGTGGTGAAAATAGCAAACATGGCAGCTTGCTGTGTATGTGTAGAAGTCATATAGTGTAGGTGATAAATGAATCACATAGTTGATGTTTTCTGCTGGCAAGTGTTACTTGCCTGCGGCAAGCTTCAGAGCATTGATTTCGGCCATCAGGTGATACCGGGAATTGCTGTTAGTCTTGGGATCTGACCCTTTTCTTTAACAGATTTTCCCTGTGTTTGACTGGCTGGCCTGATGAACACAGAAGTAAATGAGTCTGCTAGAAACCCACCTGCATTTGTACTAGTTGTTAGAATTAATTGCCTTCTTGCCATAAAAGCAGAAAAGATTGAGTTTCAATGGTTAAATAGTCTTTGAGTGAATAATGCTATTAATTCCCTAATAGACACATAGGTGTCATCAGAATAATTCAGCCTAAAACTTGCTTGTGTAAGTAACGTGGAACTAAGTATTCCTACAGAACTTAAAACCCCCGAACTTTCTTATTTTTCTGGTTTTACTTTCTCTGTAATTCCTTAGTCATTAAACTAACAGGCTGCTTAGTTTCAGTTTTGGTTTATGACTCCAGCACCAGAAAAACTGTTTGCATTTCTTACCTCTTTCTTGTGTAGCCTGCAAAAGTAATAAAACATTTTCTAACTAGTTTAAATAATTGCCTGTATTTAATTAAGGGGTTTTGCTTGACATAATTATTTAGTGCTGATAATGTTAGAAGTAGTTATTAGGCTGGCTTCCTTCAGATTTATGAGCTTTTTTAGAGCCCATTAGCATACTATACATTCAAAAGAAAAGTACTTATATTTACAGTTCCCATTTTAAGGACTTACTTTGCAAAAGAATTACATCAAATCTGATGTAATTATACACTAGCAGATTGAGGACAAGCCTGCGTGGGCTTGTGCAGGTAGATACAAACTTCAGTGGTTGTTCTTCAAGCCAGCTGGCCACCAGCTGTGTTTTGGAAGCATTCTGTCCATATAAGGAAAGTACTTACTTCATGTGAGGTAAAAACCTTTTGGAGAGGTACAGGGAATGTTAGGTTGGTTATTGTGCCACAGAAACATGGTTGTGTGGCTTTTGGACCATAGCAGACTTGCATCTCAGCAGCTTGGGGCTTGGACAGGAGAGCTGATATAGACGAGTCCTGAGCTGAGGAGAGGAAGAATGAGCTCTGCGATGGAGAGGGAGCTGGTGGGTCTCCAGAATCCAGAGCTTTAGCAAACCAGGAAAGAGCAGTTTGTTCCAAGTGAAAAGGTCCTCTCTGCATGCCTCTTGTCACCAGCCCAAGTAAAGGCTTGGGGTAGACGTGAACTGTTCAGCAAAAATAATAATTGGAAAAATAATAATTGGAAATTATGGGGAAGAATGGCTCTTGGAAATAAGCATTTGCCTTGCCTCATGAGAAGAAATAATTAGGTGTTATATAAGTAGGTTACAGTAAACTTATTTGTGCAGTAAAATAAACATAGAAATTTGTACTCAAGGCAGCCTCGTATCATCTTCTTTGATAAGTAGTACATGTGGTAAACAGCTTTTGGCTGCTGATAAGGCTGTCATGGGAACATGTAGATTATAAGAACACTTGCTAGCTATGTCACTGTGCTCTTTCTGTTCCAGGATGAAAGATACCGTTCAAGTTTTGTGTATCTCTTTTAGAGAACATTGCATCTTCATTTGCTGAGTTTATAAGCAGCTTTCTGCTTGAATAATCTTCATTATAATCTGTGGGTACAGTTTTAGCTCTTCAAGAAGCATAGACACATTGCTTGCTCTTTCTCAATTATACTAGATGGTGGTTGGATCACTTGAGTGCTTCTTCAGAGTTAAAGTTAATACGACATTCCCTTGGCAGCTGCCACATAACCTGAAGCGTATGTCTTTTAGCCTTGTAACGTGTATGTAGGCAAACATGGAAGACTTAAAATGTATTCACAGGACAATTTCTTATAAAGTTTGTAACCTTAAAAAACTTCCTGTCCATAGGCCAGCATTTGTTAATCCACTGGTTCCTGAGACCCCTGAGGAAGAAGAAATCATCAAGCAAGGGGAATGTACGTCATACTTCCTGGTAGTATGCACATCCGCCTCAGGTTCAACTTAGTAGGTAGAAGGAAGTAGACTGCAGAAGTTCTGCTGCTTAGAAATGCTCTTGATTTATTTAATAACAGATTTTTGTTCTGTCTCATGTGTCAGTAATGTAAGAGAGCTTAAGGGCCTGCTATTACATTATTGGAAATGCTTTGGCTAAACCGACACACAAGGGCGCTCCTGATGTGCTCTGCACCCCCCCAGACTTCTCTGTTTCCAGGATGCTCGCTCCACTTCAGACCTGAGTGCAGCACAGGCTTTCCTAATGCTCCGGCTGGTTGATTGCCCCCATGGTGGGTTTGCTGGGTGCATTGCAGCTCGTTACCTGTCTCGGTGCCCATGTTCCTTTTGGAAAGAAACTTGGAAAAAGAAAGAGCAGGGGAAGGAGTGTGTAGCTCCATCTTCTTTTGTTTCAAGCTGGAGTTTTGAAGCAGAGAATTAGAGAAACATTAAAGACTGAATAAACTGAAGATCTTTTAACCTAAAATTTCAGTCATTGTGGCCTATGGTAATGAATTCTATCATGAATTTGCAATCTTAGACCATCTTATACCTCATAACCTGAAGAAGATTGTTCTGTAGGGTTTCTTGTTTGATCTGTTTTTCTGTACTTTGAGGGGAGTGCTCAAGTTTTCTGTAGGAGCGATGGGTGAGTAGCATAGTATATGTATAAAAGGTCTTCAGCACATTGGTGAAGTAACAGTGAACTTCTGCCTTATTTTTTCTTTGATGCAGTCAATTCTAAAAGCCCAATTTCTGTTTGAATCTATGGGACTGTGAAGTTACGGCTTTTAACATACGGGGGAAAGAGAAAATAGGGAAGAGAGAGCTGATTCCAGGTTAAAATCTTCAGAGCCAAGCCAAATATTTGGGGGTTTTTTTGAACTCTAATTTGATTTTTTTTTTTTTTTTTTTTTTTTTTTAATGCTTAGTGAACAAGCTGAAGAGGATTGATTTCAGCACTGCTTCCTTACTGAAAATGGCTCCCACTGCAGAAGAAAGAAACATTGTTCATGACATATTCCTTAATACATTGGACACAAGGCAAGAAGGGGAGGGGTTGAGGAGAACTGAAGTCTTATGAAAAGAGAAGAATCATGTGCCTTTTGAATGCGTGCTCGTAAGAGGGTAGTCTGGAATAAAAGCACGCATTTTGTTTTCCTATTTCACCATTTAAATTCTGTGGCATTTTATTTGAAACATGGGTACAAACTTAAATCTGCATATCTTAAAAGATCTTCGGTTGTTAAAGTGTTAGCTGTGCCAAGATGGTGAAGTGACAGTGTAAGCACAAGGAGCTTCTGAGCAAGCTGTTAGGAATAATCTTGAGGAAAAAAGTTAATAATAAGGGAATGGAATGGATTTGCAGCTGTGTGACGTGCACAATCTAAGAGTTTCCTGTCGTGATATCTAGAAAAAAACCTTTGAGGGCAGGAACTGGCCATATTTTAACCAGGTAGCCTTGTTTTAAATATAATGCCTGACACCATTATTTCAGGGAGACACTTGTTGGCATACTTCTCTTGTACTTGAGATTTGTGTGAAATCATCTAGTGCCAATGGTGATAGAACAGTCCCTAATGACGTTAGTGCAGTGTAGTATTTGTGGCTAATTTATAATTTCTTTAACTTAGTAGCGTTATACAATTGTTATTTTCAAAGCTGTTTACCAAAGTGAGACATGATTTCCCTTAAAATTAGCAGATGTATTTTGTACACATTCTGTCTGGATTTGAAAACCTCAAACCGTCTGCATGTTTGATGTTGAATTACTCTGTTAGCTCATTCTGTGCTTTTAATTCATATTAAGACTTAAAAAAACAGACTAAGGCTTTTCTGACAAAGTGTGTGCCTTGTGGTTGTGATTCATCTTTTCTTTCATGTACCTTTCTTGAGCTTGTTCATTCACACAAGTTTGAACATTAGCAGATGTTTTTGAAAGATCATGAGCGCAGGCTTATTGCAGAAACAAAATATCGCTTTAGATAAGGCTTCAAGGTCCATTGGAACAGCTTTTAGTGATAGCATTTCTGGGTTTTGGCTTTTGGGGGTTTTCTTTTTTTTTTTTTTTTTAGTGTGTATCTGCATTTGCTATTTGTGCATTTTTGACTTGCTGAGTTCTGCTGATGTGGGCTATGAAGTTTATTGTCTCTTCCAAAGGACAGTAAGTTTCCGGAGTCGTAAATTACCACCCAATTCAGTGTGGATGGAAGATGCAAAGCTAAAAGGCCTACAGATTTGCCATCCTCAGGTATTTTGAAAAATATTAACGAATTACGGAAAGTAACTTACGAATTGTCTTGTAAGACTAGTCAATCCATTATTTTATTTCATTTTGGCAGTCCTTGCAATGTATTCAGATCTTAGTTTCTTTTCCTGTTTTTCTATTATCTGTATGGATTGCCACTTCAAAAGAGATTTTTAATGACTTTGTTTTCTTACCAGAAAGAAGTTCCTTCGCAGAGTTCCTTTTCTGTAAAGAAATTCCTTTGCAAAGTGTTTGAGTTGGGCTTCTGGTTGCTGACACAATTTTTGAGTTTTTATCTTTTGTTGTCAAATGAGTCGGATGAGCTCCTGTTAAGTAAAGTTGCCTCAGCCATTTGGGCTTTTGCATGTGTATTTCAGTAGTGCTTTTTATGCCTTCAGATGCTGGAAGTTCCGTTAAATGCTGTGAACTGAAGTGCAGGCTTTGACACAATGCTTTGAAAATAATAACATGTAATATAGCAGTTTGATTTTTGTTTCTACATACAGGAACGGAACATCTTCAATAGGATCTTTGGGGGTTTTCTCATGAGAAAGGCGTTTGAACTGGGATGGGCAACTGCTTGCAGCTATGGGTGAGTCGTGGGCCTGCAATATTTATATAATCCAGGGCACTGTGCGCATGTTCATAGGTCGGGAAGCCAAGTTAACCAACCTACTGACAATCTGAGCAGAAAGGACCTAGGTGTCTACTAGAATCCTGCACTATTGGTGCAGAGCGCTATTTTACTTAGAGCGTCTGTTGTATTTACGAAGATATTTGCATCTTGCTCCTTGGAGCTTGGTTTTTAAGCATTACATGTCAAGATAGAAAATACATCCTTTTTCTGGTTTATCTTACCAAGCTATCTAGGCTGATTTTTGAAAATAAGTTTTCTTTCTAACCATATAAAATAGACATTCTATCAAATAAATACTGCATCTTTTCATTCTGTACACATCAGGAATGGTTTCTGAACTGCTAGTAACCACTTGTGCTTAGAAAGTGTGACTGAAACCCAGCAAAGAACTATGCATAAGTTTAATGGAGCTTGCGCAGCCTGATAGGAAGTGTTTTATGTCAGTGCTTGGAAAACTGAGGCAATGATGGCATGAAGGTTGCCTAGCAAGTGTAAGTTGTAAGATATAATAATGATGCAGTAATGTGTCCTCAGGGAGTGTGTATTTTTGTGTGTGTGAGATAGGTTTCCTCCAGTTATTTTTTGTCTTGGGTGATGACATAATTCTTTAGCACTTCCTGTGGCCTGTGTTTAAGAGAGGGATCTATTTTCTAGTAACTTTTCATTAAAATTCTAACAATGAAATATTTTAAATTTCTTCAAACACCCTCGTTATTCTTAAGAAGAAATTTCTTTTTCTTGCTCAGGTGTTCCAGGCCTTTTATTGTATCAGTTGATGATATCATGTTTCAGAGGCCAGTTGAGGTTGGATCCTTATTATTGCTTTCTGGACAGGTAGGAGTTGATTTCTTTTTGAAAAGGAGAAAAACTTACCTTTGCTGTAGTCACTGTTAATCACTGATACTGATTGTGTGACTTTTCTTGTTAAATAGTGCAATGAAGTCTGTTGCAGTTCTTCAGTGCCAGTGATAAATTACGAATTCTCACTCTTATCTTAACTGTGTAGGTCTGTTACACAGAAAAAAACTACATCCAGGTTCGAGTACACAGTGAGGTTTATGATGCAGATACCAGGGAGCACCAGACAACCAATATCTTCCATTTTACATTTATATCAGAAAATGAGGTTCCACGAGTTGTCCCCAAAACTTATGGAGGCAAGTATCCAATTAAGGCATTGTCATCATAACTCTGGAGACAAGACAGCTGTCTTGTGGTTGGAACGTTGGTCACTTTAGTAGGTGAACTATTGGCATTTGAAGAATTTGACAGGATTTCGTGGCAAACCACATTTATTTTATGCTTTGATGCCAGCGTGGATTGCTGCTTAATCTTACTGTTCCGTGTAGTTGTCCAGTGTTGATGCTGAGTTACTAATGTGGTTCTCTCTTCTCCACCTTGTTTCAGAGTCCATGTTGTATTTAGATGGGAAGCGACACTTCGCTGCGATCATGAAAGAAATCTGACACGCGCTGAATGCTGCATCAGCAGTGTAGCAGCATGCTGTCTTGGAAAGAGTTGTCACCAGAGATGGCTGACAGACAGGTGCTTGCAATACTAAAAGAAAAAGCCCACCCCAAACCAAACCCCACAACAAAAAATACCTTTTTAGTGCTATTTATGTGCATATATTTGGATTTTTTATTTTCTGCTGCTAGGATTTTTTGAAATCTACTTTTGCATGCTGATGCTAAGGAAAAAAGGCTGAAAAAATACAATCTCAAGCTTTAGATAGCTTCTCTTTGTCTGCTTTGAGAAATCTCATTACGACCTTTGCTGTCTTGTCACCATCTGCCTTCTTTCCCTTAGTAGCTCTCCTTTGTGTTGCCCTGATAAGGGATAGAAATTCTATCAGAAAAATGTGTGCAATAAGTAGATACACACAGATGAAGCCATTTGACCTACATTCTTGTGTAAATTAGGTTTAGGGCCTTTTTTTTTTTTTTAACGGGGACACATACATCTGGGCAGCAGCATAAGCTCAGAAGTTCCTAGCGTGTGTGCAGTATAAAGCAGGTGTTTCCCATCAGCTGGGATTTTATAAGGTTGTTGCAGCTTCTGTTTTGCATGGCTTCATGTTCCCTTGGGAGGAAACTGATTTTGCAATGAAATGAGGTGGCCAGATGGTCTCTTCTGGCATTCTGTTTGTGTACAGCCAGTCCTTGCCAGCCTCTTCAATTTTTTTTTTGTTATAACTGTGAGTTCCTTAATGAATTATTTCTCATGGCCTGTAGAGTAGAGATCTGATTGGTGAGATTGGGTGGAACTGGGCAACGGCATTGTAGAGCAGAACATTTCAGTTTCTAAGTCCTTCTTAGGGACTGGGAGCAGGACAGGTAAAATGCTGCCAAAATGGTAATGGTTATATTTGATGCTGGAGTTAGGGGTCCAGAGAGTCTGTGTTGAGCAGCTCCCGAGTCAGCTGCTGAATGGTGGGAGGATTTTTATCCCACTGGGGGGTGGTACAGCTAGAGGCCAGCCTCCTCAGATGGATTATTTGTCTGGGTCCTTGGTAGTCATGAAATATGAGTATTGCACACCTTTAAAGGTTGTCATGTTTACCTGCAAAGGACAGAGTGCTTCCCCACCACAGAGGGGACACCACGGTGGACATAACTGTGGCATATAAGTAACAGGAAGAAAGTACGCGATGCTCTCGATACTGAAGTGCTTCTGATGTAGCGGAGAGAGTTTTAATAATCTCTAATATCAGGCAAGTAAAGCCCAACATCCTGAAATTAGGAAGGTGAGTGGATGGGAGGCATCAGCTTTTAGCAGTGAGGATGATCAGTCACAAACACACAATTAGACCTCCAATACCTTCAAATCATGACTGATACCCTGTCTGAGCAAGACGCCCAAAGAGGAATCGTTGGGCTCAGTGGTAGGTTAAATGGATGAAATACGATGTCTTATATAATACACGAGAGTAGACTCCGGCTTCCCTGCTAGGTTTAAAATCTTTGAAATCAGGAAGCAGCAAGTAGAAATGATGTGAACCGGCACAGATGCATGGAACAGGTTGATAAAATAAAACAACATGTTGAAATGTTTATTTCTGAGTAAGAAAGATTGAGAAATTCACAGTTAAGACCAGCTTCCTTTGGTGCTAGGACAGCATAAAGTTCGTGGCTCCTAACAGCTGATTGCTATTCCTGGGAGGAAGAGTGAGCGTTGTAATAACCAGCGTGTTACACATCAGCCTTGCCTTTCTGGGATCGGGCTGCCTGTAGTTCTGAGCTCGCTAGCTTCCCAGCGGGGGCGCGGGCGAGTTGCCTGATCGGGATCAGATTCGTGCATTGCAGTGACAGTAAGCTCTTGGTTCCTTACATAGCGTTTCTCGCTTCAGCCACGCTCTGGCGCTGATTCAGCTGCATGATGTTACAATCCTTTTCTTTAACGGTTATGACACTGTGGATAGGTGTTGTATTTTCTGTTTCGCTCCTTTTTAAAACTCTTTGGAAGCTGAATATACTTGGCTGACCGCACAAATAAAGAACTGAAACTCTATCCCAGCTTCTTCCCCCCTCACTGTATGGATCGCTGCTGGCTATTGAAAAATAAGTGGGAAGGCAGGGAGTGGAGGGATCTGTTTCAGAACTATGTATTACTCCTGACTACCCGCAGGATTTTGGCGTTGACCCAGTGATCCTACCCGGGTCACTTTTGTATAACGTTTGTAAGTTAAGGGGGTACCGAGTTCTTCCTCTACTGCCTTTTCAGCTGTACTTAAATATGAATGTATCATAATTTCTAAATTCAACCTTTAGGAAGGGATTGGAGAGGAGAAAAAGAGGTAATAGAGTAGGGAGCAAGGCGTGACGTCAACACCTCTGGACACAGTGAAGAAAATGAATCCCACGAATCAAGATGCTTAGAAGAATGAGTGTGTTTTCAGCATTCATGGTAACTTAATTGCGTACCACAATCACAGTAGTTATAGGAATGTCTGTACAGTCATACAGAATATGTGTGTGTATATATACATATGTAAAAGGTACAAAATATATATACTAATGAACAGAAAATATATATACTAATGAACAGAAAATACATATACTAATGAATAGAAAGACATAGAGTATGCGCTTACGTATTTTTTACTTGGAGAAGGTAACTCCCAAGTTGTCACCCTCTCTGATAATAGGCTCAGTATATCTTTGTTCAAGGGTATTATTTATGCACATCGCTGTATACCTTTGTGTGTGAGATAAAATTGTTCTCAGATCTCGCATTCAGAATTAAAATATTTTAACATGGTAATTAATGATGAGTTTATATTGCAACTTAATGACTAACCCATCCCTGCTGTGACTAACCATTACCCCACAAGCCTAACGGTATTGGTAGAAAATCTTTTTATTTATTGTGAACCTATCTGTGTAATTGGCTCTGGCTCTGTAGGGGGAAGTAAATGTTTCCGTGCCCATTGCATCTTGGAATACAGCAAGGAGGAGGAAGTCTGTGGTAGCTGGGTTGCCTCCCCTAAGCCTCTCGGTAGTTAATGGTGATACAAAAGGAGATTTCTGTGGGACTGGCTGAGCTCCGTGCCCAAAAAAGCACTTTGTTTTAAATGTTTTTATTTTTCTGTATTTAAAAAAATAAATATTAAAACTACTTACTCAAACTTACCGTAACAGCTTCTGGTAGCCCTTCTTTTCCCCTCAATACAGGAAAGACGTTGTGTTACTGGAACATGTCGAGGAGAGCAACAAAGCTGGTGAGGGGTCTGGAGCACAAGTCTGATGAGGAGGGGCTGAGGGAACTGGGGTTGTTTAGCCTGGAGAAAAGGAGGCTGAGGGGAGGCCTTATCGCCCCCTACAGCTGCCTGACAGGAGGCTGTAGCCAGGTGGGGGTTGGTCACTTCTCCCGGGTAACGGGTGATAGGATGAGGGGAAACGGCCTCAAATTGTGCCAGGGGAGGTTTAGATTGGATGTTACGAAAAATTTCTTCACCGAAAGGGCTGTCAAGCATTGGAACGGGCTGCCCAGGGAGGTGGTCGAGTCCCCATGCCTGGAGGTATTTAAAAGACGGGTAGATGTGGTGCTTAGGGACATGGTTTAGTGGTGGGATGGCAGGGTTAGGTTAATGGTTGGACTTGATCTTAAAGGTGTTTTCCAACCGAAATGATTCTATGATTCTTCAAATATGCATGATTCCTTTGCAGCCACGTTGTGGTGTACGGTGTTCTGGGAGGAAGCTTGCTGGAGCTGGTACAGCATGGGCCACTGAGTGAGGGTATAGCTGAGGAACTTGCACGAAACTTTCTGCATGCATAATTGATTTTACTGCACATTCAGTCCAGCCTTTGCCTGGTGACAGATTTGTTTGATTGCTGGTCCTCCTCTGAACGCATTTTTAAGGAGGTTTGGGAGAGATGGTTTCTTCACAGGCTAGGCACTAGCTAACAGGAAAATAAAAGGGTAAATACTCAGCTTCCGTGAAAGAAACTGGGGACTACTTTTGTGGAAGGTGTAGGTGGATGACGTTACCTGCATAGAAAATACACTGGAGCACTTGCCCCGGCAGCAGGGGATCCTCGTCCCTGCAGGCCTCCTGTCCATGAGGCTGGAGGCACTTTTGGCTGCTCCTTACTCTTTTATCTTCTGTTATGTAGCAAAGATGGGAGATTTCTGGAGGAGGGGAGCAGGGCTCTGGGGTCTGGTGCTTGGGGCACTCGGAAAGGGCAGTGGTAGGGGTTCTGGTCCCTGCTCGCAGCATCGCTTCTTTATCTGGTAACTGTTCAGCAAAAAATTCAGGTGCAGGGACCAGTCCCCTGAGCCCGCTGTGTCTGCCAGGCTGGTGGGGCGCCCTGTGGGGGTCATCTCCAGAATTAAATGCTGTTAACAGACAGTTTCTTCTTACAGGCATTGTGAGGAGGCTGGTGCCAGGGCTTGGCACTGCAGGAGGGGCAGGGCTGGCTGCGGGGGGAGGCAGAACTTCCGCCCAGCTAGATCCTTCCTGCTTGGAGAAGTGGCTTTCACCTGCAGACCTTGCTTGCTGTGTGAAGTTTCTCTTTAACCGCTGAGACAGCGGTCAAGGTGTGTGGGGGCTTGCCCAAAACAGAAGTGGAAGTTGAAGGCGGGGTGCCTCGCTGCCAGTTACTGCTTGCTTTGCAGGAGCTCTTTGCTTTTTCTGTTGAAAAGATGAGTTCACAGGGGCAGCTCCGTGCATCTGTGTTTTGTGCACTTCCAAGAGAAGCCCGGGAATAAATCCCAAGGTTTGGGAAGCAGAATGGTGTGAGATTTATTTCTTCTGCTATTTCAAGCCTCAGGTGATGCGTACTGGAAGAACAGACCACTGCGCCGTTTGTGCAGTTACTGCTTTGTGAGAGACTGCTGCAGGGGGCGCTGCCCAGTCTGCCCGAATTCATTTGAGGCTGCCGTGATGTGGGTCACCGTTTTCAAACCGGCAGCTGGAAATCAGGTTCTTAGACTCAACGCTCTGCACCAGCATTTGAAAGGGCCATATTTCAAGCAGTGCTAAGGATGTCCATTGCAATGTGGACTTCTGTGAAGTTTGCTGGTGGATCTTCCTTTGTTTGGAAGATGATGACACTTTTATTTGTTGCCTAAAAAGTAATGAGGATTTACATTTTTGTCTTGCTAGTGCTTATCTGAAGCTTTTGCTCCTACGCCTGTGCGTAAGACATTCCCAGGTACGCCAACAAGGCCATGGCAATCCCTCGTCCAAGCACCAGGCAAGAATGAGCGATGGGCACGTGGAAGAGCAGTGGGTTTCTGTACTGCCTCAGCATTTCGTTATCGCTAAGGAGTCAGAATCAACTTCAGCTGTTTAGTTGAAACTACCTGTATTTTATCTTTGTTAACTACAGACCATATGTGATAGTAAAGTACTTGAGAGTTCCTTAGTCTCCTGGTAACCGCCCTTCAGCTCAGGTGTATTTTATACGTGTTTAATGTGAGAGGCAAACTTTGAGACCAGAACTAGAAGGATGATTGCAGCAATCTGTTAATCGAAACAGAGAAGGGCAAAGCAAACCTTTAAACTCCTTTGCCTGCTGGATAATCCTATCCGAGATACTGGTATACTAGGCTCTGATTTTGAAATACATTTTTTTTCTTGATGTTTTTTCTGGAAGATCTCACAGCCTCCACGTGCCGATTATTTAATACAAACAAAGAACTAAACAGCCACATGAGCCTCTGAAATAGCTATCACAGCATGTCCTTAAAGTTGCGTTACCAGTTCATTACTGTTCCACTGCGTTGATCAGTATGTGTATGAAGGTCAAGGAGTGTGAGTCTTCCAGGAAACGTCAGTTCAGGCCTTGGACTTTCAAGAGCTTTATTTGCTCTGTTCATGTATTGTTACTTTCTAGTCCTGCGTTCTGTCACTCCTGTTTTTTGGTGTTTCAGGGCTGACAAAGGCTGTAAATGAAATCCCCAGTAGAACTGAAGTGGCTGATTTCCAGCCTAGTAATGTGAGAAACCGCCTCTCGACACGCTGCCCTCTGCTCTTTGAGACCACATGGGCTGGAGCAGCACATTACCAGCCTTTGGCGTCAGTCCCACTGTGCCCCCCTTACCCTCTGGACGGGATCAGGAGCTCCTCCTTTCCCGAGGCCTGGCAGGGACTGGGTCTGGGCGGCGCTCAGTGGCGTTCTGCTTGCCCTGGCCGTGGTTCCCTCTGCCCGAGGCACGCACTGAGGTGTTACTCGTCTCAGAGCTGAAGCAAAGGCCAAGCAGCCGCTTCCGCACTCCCGTCTGCGGTGGCTGACCCGGAGAGCGGCTCGATACTCGCCAAGGTCTGCAACATCAGGTAACTTTACAGTGAGAATGCAGCTGCCGGTCCTGTTCTGTGGAGCTGTACTGAAGTGCCTGTGTATGGTGAGGGGTTTGTACGGTCTGGCGGGGGAAGGGGAAGCAAATCCTCATGAGCGTGGGCTCCAACCAAGAGCGATAGCGTAGCGGTGCTGGATTGGAGCAGGGCGGGAGCCTTCTCTGTGGTCTTTTCAAGGACGACCCTGGTGAAGGGCTGACACTGACTTCAGGTGTTATTTTCCCAGTTGCACAGGCTCTAGAACACCACGTTAAAAAGAGGGAGAGGTGGGAAGGAGCAGGAGAAGACATTCTTAGGAAAGGGATCTCCAGCGCACGCAAGTACAAAGTATGTCTTTACAACAAGATGTTCTTTCTTCCCTTGGAAAAAGAAATTCATGTACCTGAGCCACGAGTTTCTGATGGTCGCTGGACATGTCGATGCTCATCTTGGGAATGGCTACAGTTACTCCCTGAAAACTAGGAGCCAGGGTTAACGCGTGGGTCAGCAGGGGACGCGAGCCGCTATGTGCATCTGTTAAACAGTGTAGGGCCAGGGAAAAAATTCAGACCGTGTGAAGTGGCCTCGATCTCACCAGCACATACACTGCAAGCAGAAACGTGGAAGAAATGACTGGTTCAGCTCTTGAACCACATGAACTGGCGTAGCTGTTATTTCCTTCAGCGCAGCTGCACTGATTTATGTAGCGTAGGATACGTTCTTTAGTAGTTTAAAAATGTTTTACAGTTGTGGACAGACTGAACATTTAATTCAGCAACTCTAACTTACTTCTGGCTTTCGGCTTAGCTGCTATTGCCTCTGGACTACAGACTAATGTACCGTAACCAAGCGGCTCTTTTCTAGCTGTAGCTCCTAGCATGTGACCAAGGAGACAAGATTTTTGCAGAAATTAAGTAATCTATCAACAGCAAAAGTCATGAAGCTAAGCCCGAGATGCTAAGAGAAGTAAATTTTGGGGAAGACCAAGCATCTAGACAAGACTTACAGGGAAAACGTATTTCATGAGAATATTCTCTGGTAACTAATGAGGTACCCATGCTTCACACAGGTCAGACTCCCATTCAAGCAACAAGACCTTTAATGGTCTACTGCAGGGACATATTAGTCAAACTCATGAATGTAACAAAATTAATGGAATTTTATTGGCAAAAATCACGTTGAATGTGACCTTTGTAATTCAACAAAAGCGAGCCTCAGTGTAGTTTATCGAAATACTTCAGTTTTCCAGCTGGATCTGGAATTATCTGTGCAAGAAAGAAAATGAAAATGTTAGTCTAAAAACAAAACCATGCAAACACAACAAACTGTAAAACCAGAACAGCAAAGTATTTAATAATCTGATGTGAAGGCCAACCCACAAGCGACACTGAGGCGTAACTTACCAGTTGACTTGATATGAGATTACTGTTTATCTCTAAAGGTACCTAACAGCAGTAAGCAGAAAGATTTAACTAATTGGGGGAAGAGTGCAGCCCACCAAAGGAAGAATTTTGACACTTGGGAGCGCATACATCTATGTTGTTTGCCCCAAAAGCAAAGTATCTTAATAAATTAACGCCTGTGATCCAGAGTCTTAGAATTTACTTACAGTTCTTCCCTTGGCCACCATACTCTCATAGCTTCTTCAGGTTTGATCTAATTAAATCAAACACATTTAGAAGGCATGGCTACATCTTTGAGAAAGTCTTTTTGAAACTACTCTGCTATTTAAATTATCTGCGTCTTTTGCACAGAGGAGAAAGAGAATGCTTATGCATTGTTTTAGATCTTTAAGCAGGTAGTATTGGAGCTGTTAATCTCAGCCTTGTAAAACTGTTTTTTAGAAAATATGCAAATGTCATATTATTTAGGTAATCCATGCTTAGGGAGGGCAGAACTTTTCAGTACCAAAATATGTCTGTTAGGCCAGCCAGCCCTCTTTCATTTTACAGTCTTGATATCCAGCCTCCCTCACTAAGACACTGGTCTGCTAGCTTGAGGGAGGTGAATCCTAGCCTCAAGTCACCCTGGGAAGTTTTCACATCCGGAAAGAAACAGGGTTTAATGTTCCACTTTTTTTCCCTATCAATTACAACACTCACTACTCTGCTTAGAGGCTGCTGGGACCTGATTTTGTTGAGACAGCTCTTGAACAACAACGCTCTGTCATCACCAGATGGTTCAGAGGAAAGCCACATGCTCCAATAAATGACAGTGATCTCATCTGAACTAGGTGGCTCAGACCTCTAGTGAAAGTTTCATTATTCTGGTGAGGCTTGATCCAAGCCCAGAGAACACACGCAAGTTCAATGGGTCTTTATCTGAACCCTAGCTCTTCTGCTTGTAGTCACGTGTAGGCGAGTAGTAACAAAGGAGGAAGAGCTATTGTGCAACAAAGCAGTGCTCTCTCCTGGGGTTCCACCAGTGGCACGCGGGTTCGTCTCTTTCTGGTTTTGGGTAGTGCCTAGGATCCACAGTAGGACTCCATAGAGGCAAGAATTTATATGGACGAATAACTGAGAAGTAGGACAGACTCCACAGAGTTTCCAACTTTCTCTCATCAGGTGTTAACAGGAAAAAAAAGTTCCTGATCACCAACTCATTGCTGCTCAAGAGAGTTTTGTTCATACGCAGGAAATTTGACACAACTGGAACATGTCTAGTGTGAGGGAAACAAACTCCTAATGAAGTCAGTAGTAATCCAAAAGCTGTAACTGTAATAATGTGAGTTTACTCATCTGATTGAAAGCTGCAAGGACTTTGGATGTGGCTTTAGTGGAAATGCTAACTCGAGTGTTTTCTGGTAGTACATGCATTTAAATATAAACAGCGACTTACAGTTTCACTGCCAGGTTTCCAACCAGCAGGGCAAACTTGGAAAAAAAAAAAGGGACAAAGTTAGAAGAAGTATTTTTACACACACTTACTTTTGTGGACATAATACTCTCTCAACTTGGAAGTAAAACAGCACACAAGCGCCACATGTAAGTATCTGCACCTATTAAATACACAGTTTTCTTTATACGTGGGATGGTGTCAGAACCGTTTATACCTGATACCGCCTACCACCTCTGTTAGCTGGAAACGGCGTATCTCTGGATGGATGCCTATGCCTTGGTTTAGTTCTTGTGCCCTTCTAGACAAAGCACTGGCAAAGCAGTATCTGAGAATGAACGCCTACTCTAGTACAAACAAAAGTTTCATGATAAAATTCAGGTGACTATGCAGAGACCTACCTTTCTTTCTTTAAAACCTATGCTAGGGGAAATTTTTTAGCAAAGAAATCAGTTCAAAGATTCCCCAAGAGATTGGTTTTATTTGAAGCCAGTAAAGGGAGTACAGCACGCGGTTAGGGCACAGCGTGGCTGAGAGCCCTGTGACCACCTGTACAGCTGCACATTCTGGAGCGAAGCTCTTATCTCTTCAGAGCTCTGAGGCTTCAGCCCAGTGAGTTATGCCGTATTACACTGCCTGAAGGCATGCTGTCAGACAAAATACCACAAAGGCAATGAGGAGTTGTGGAGAACTTTTTTTCCTGTTCTGTGCAAAGAATCCAGTAAGGCGCCTAGGGAGGCTCTCCTCAGCTTTCATCCCAAAGCCGGTGAGATTCTGCGTACAGCTGGAAAAAAATGTGGTACTCTGGAAACACACTGCAGATCAGTAGTCTGTAAGACCACTTTGTAACTAAGTAAGAGAGGCTAAATTGCCTTAGTCAAATGTGCGTAGCCCAAGTATCAGCATTTATCTTTTAAAATCTGTACAGCAAAGCATAATAATGATTTGTACCTTCAAATAAAGGTACTTTCAAATGCCAGGTGAAATTGAGTTGAAATGGAAATTAAGCTGCTGAATGTCTGTGTTAATATTTAAACAAATCTTTAAAAAAAAAAAAAAAAGTGTTTGTTTAAACACGTTAGTTAAAGACATGTGAAGAGTTCGCCCTAAGCTTGAATGGGGGCAATATGAATTCTTGAGACAAAATGGTGATCTGAAGCCAGTGAAAGCTTCTTTGTCGGGGAAGATGATCACATAGTATTTGTAAAGCAAACACAAGTAATGGCAGTCTAACTTCCACAATATCACCATGTATCTTGGCATGAAGCACTCTCAATTACTTGTCACAGGTCCTCAATGAATGACACAGGACAAGGATGGCCTACATCTCCATTATTTTAGTATGCCAAAATGTACTGAAATATTGGGCCTGATTCTTCACAGCCTCGTATTTTGTACAGATTTATGCTTGTGACAGGTAGTACATAATGCCTTAATTCAGACTAAGGAATGCTTTATGCTCTGCATTCTCACAGATGTGAAGCCAAATGTGAGTTACTACACTAGAAACAACCTATGGAGGTACTGGGACCACAGAATCTTGGAGCAGGGCAATCAAACCACTTCGGCTCTAATGCTACCGAGTACCTTTCTTCCAAAAAGCTACAAATACAGCTTCCAGTCTAAGTAAAACAATCTTCAACATGAAAGTATGTAAAAGAGCACCTTCTCCATGTTTGTCTGTGTACTGGAATGCTTGTACTAAACGAAGCGTTTCATCCACTGATCTCCCAACAGGAAGGTCATTCATGGTGATCTGACGAAGGACTCTCTTGTCATCAATAATGAAAAGGCCTCTGTGAAAACATTTTTTTGTGTGTGTTAGGAAACAGAACTAATTAGAGTGCTGTATTTATACATTACTTTATGTCTGCTGAATGGGAGGAATTCGATCTCTGCAAACACCATACAATACCCACCACCATCTTAGAATACTACTAACCTACTGTTCTTTACCCAGGGTGTCAGATGACACGAGCTGAGGGCAAGTTAAAAAAAAAAAGGCTACTTCTCCGCAGAACATAAAACTTAAGTTTTGGCAGGCCCTGCCAGGGGATGTTGCAGATGTTGTGATGTTACAGGGACCCCAGAAGCAACGAATCACATTTATGAAATGTGTATCTCTTGAGGCCATTAGTTACCCTTAGGGTCTTGACTCCACTTGGACTTGTGAGGTCCCCAAGTAACTGCAGTTCTGGGGAATTCTGCGTGTTTGCCCTGCCCTAGGTACCTGCTGATGACTGCTGTTAAACAGGATATTAACTTCCACCCCTGTTCTGACTCACTGTGACTGTTTTTTTGTGTTCTTCAATATTTATTTTGTCTCTCGGCATGAATCCCCAATTAAAAACAGCTCTCAAAGAAAAACTTGAAATCCTTCTTTAGATATAAAGTAGTAAGTACTACCCCAGCAAAAAACCCCAACAACTGTAACCCAGTGAAATACCTAAGTGTATGCCCTTGATCTTCCAGATATACTCCGTAATCCTTTGAAATTTGGTGCGTCAAATCTGAAAGCAGTGGAATCTTCATAGGTCCGAGTCCTCCTTGTTTTCGAGGAGTATTAATCCTTTGAAAGAAATGAGAGACACATGAGTTTCTCATAAAGGTGTATATTCTCTACACAAAGTAAAAAGTCACCAACCAGAACAGTACAGGCAGAAGGATTTAGTACAAGTGACTTCTTTTTGTTCTGCACAGAAGGGAGACAAACACTAATTATGGTCTGAGCAAAATGTTCAGTAGATCTTTTGCAGTTTTTGGCCACAGCTATTAATATTGACCTCTTTCTTATCAGTTGTATTTGCTTTATACCAGCGTGCTCATGAATTGGGACAGTGTGCCCCATTTACAGATACTTGCATCCTTGTATCTTTTTTTTTTCTTGTATTTGTAGTATTTTTTGGACTGAGACATAATTCAAGCAATACATACTAAACGAGCTTCAAAGATAAAGGTGCTTTCACGCACTAGGGTTAAAAATTTTTACCACTGAAAAGTAATTTAAACATTTGTCTCGATAGAATCAGGCCTTCACACATTATGCTATACCTATACAGGCTACAAATCTGGGGATACAGTTCTTCAGCTAAGATGGACCCATGAATAATTTTTAGTGGAAGACAAGGATAAGATACATACCATGCCAAGTGAGTGAACTTGGAGTCCACAGAACACGCTACTACTTCGGTATTTATTGCTCTGAATTCTTCAATTCTGTCACTGAAGGCGATTATCTCAGTTGGACATACAAATGTACTAGATAATTTAAGACAAGATAAAGTCAAAATTTCATGAAACATCCAGCAAGTTCTCTGTTTAACTTAAAAATGTGAATTTATCTTAAATGATTTCAGCTTTTACTTATTTTTTATTGCTTCTTCAAGTATTTAACAGAAATGCTGCCTGACAGATCTTCCAGACCCAGACTCTAGCTTAGTTACAGTTTATTACTGAAGAAGATTATAAACCCACAGTTAAATTACGGTCCAGATACAAGGGGTTTTGCAGTTACTTTCTTTTAGACTTTATGAGTAGTAAGTGGCTGAATTTAAGCACAATATGCCATTTTTTTTCAGAGGAACATACTGTAATTCATTGTTGCCATGCATGTCTGCAAATTTTAATTATTCTGACTTGAACTTTTTCCACTACAGAAGTAAAGGCCACAATTTCTAGAGCCTTGAAGCTAATGGCCAAGAGCCACATTATTTCCTTTATGATACTGACATAGTTATGCATCTCTGTCCTCTTTTCTTCATTTTGTGGAAAAGAATCATAGAATTGTAAAATACCAGGTTGGAAGGGACCTCAAGGATGATCTGGTCATAGAATCATAGAATCATAGAATGTTTAGGGTTGGAAGGGACCACTAGTCCAACCCCCCTGCAGTGAGCAGGGACACTGCTAACTAGATCAGGTTGCTCAGAGCCCCATCCAACCTGGCCTTGAATGTTCCCAGGGATGGGGCCTCCACTACCTCTCTGGGCAACCTGGTCCCACCTTTCTAGGTAAGAGCACAGTCCAAACAAGATGGCTGGCCCAGCTGCGTCTTGAAAGTGTCCAGTGTGGTGGAGCCAACCACTCCCCTGGAGAGATTATTCCAATGTTTGACTGTTCTCATTGTGAAAAATTTTCCTTGTGTCCAATCAGAACCTTCTCAGGATTAACTTGTACCCATTACCCCTCGTCTTTTCCATGTGACTCCTTGTAAAAAGGGAGTCTCCGTCTTCTTTGTAACCACCCTTTAAATAATGGTACGTGGTGATGAGATCTCCTCTAAGCCGCCTTTTCTCAAGGCTGAACAAACACAGTTCTCTCAGCCTGTCCTCATGTGGAAGGCTTCCCACTCCTTTGATCATCCTGGTGGCCCTTCTCTGGACCCCCTCCAGCCTGTCCACATCCTTTTTGTACAGTGGGGACCAGAACTGTACACAGGATTCAGCATCCTATCGGCTGCCTTGGCCACAGCAGCGCACTGCTCGCTCATACTGAGCTTGCTGTCCACCAGGACCCCCAGGTCCCTTTCCACATGGGATCGTCTGGTAGAAAGCAGAGATGTTTTCATTCAACCAGTGAAGTTACTACATTCCAAATAAGGGAGGGTAATGTTAAAGTGTTCTCAGGACATTATGGAATGAACTTAAAGGGAAAAAGCCATCTCTTAGATACACTACATACCCTCTAGAAAATATAGATGGGATGCTGTCTTTTATTTGCAGCAGTGATTTACAGCATTATATAGAACATAAAGGTTGCCTGACTGGGTACTACAGACTGAAAGTTGGTTTTTTTGTGTGAACACCCTTATTAGGACAAAGACTGTGTTACAATTTTACCAGTGCATGATGAAAACACAAATGCAAAGAATGTGATTTGTTCTGTCACTCTTCTCCCCCAAACCCTTACCAAACAAAACACCAAGACCTCAAAAAAGAGAAAAATTAATGAATTGTGAGTCTAGCGTAGCTGCACTCGCTCTCGGTATGTCTCCAGTGGTCTTACTTACAAGTCAAGAGGATAGAAGAAGAAGACAAGGTATTTTCCTTCATAATCTGTTAATTTCAGCTCTTTGAACTCTCCGTTAATGACTGCTGTTCCTTCCCAGTAAGGTGCTGGCTTGGAGACTGAAATATGAAGAACGTTTGATTAAAAGTCAGGATACGAAGCACGTGTTCAAGCAAAGCTGTTCATTAGCTAGCTTGTGTGCAAGGTCAACTGTTCTTTTTGCTTGAAAAACAACCTACTGCACGCCGTTACAAAATGAAACTTCCTTACCACTTTAAAAAGTTCACAGCTGGCAGAGGTTACAGGATGATGAAGAAATGTAGGTTTCAGTACACAGGGAAAGTAAATAATTTGACTAACTTGGGCTTATACATGAGCCCTCTGAATCACTGATAATCAAGGCCACACAAACCTTACTCTGGGCACACTGAACAAACCACGCGTACACTACCAGCTTATGGCAGAACATCTGTTAGACCGAAGGAGAAGCTGTTTAAGATTTCAGGAACCCTCACTATTTTGTTACGCAGAGCTGTTGTGAATCAGAAGTGTAAGATGGTGCGAATTCATATGGTTACTTTTTAGCCATAAAAAATTACTTGGGATTCAGTTCCACAAAAAAATACATGCTACGACATGTTTAGAGACAAATGCCTAAAAATGCAGTGTACATTTATTATATTACAACTCCTAAGCAAATTGTAACTTGAAGATAGTCGTGTTTTTAAAAAATAATCTAATTAAAATGCATGAAATGTATCTACTATTCCTATCAAAAGGGATTAACCTTGAATTTAAAATACTAAAAATGATTCTGCCAGGTACTATTTTCATAGTAACGTGAATTCTGAGACAGACGGTAGGGTATGCTGGAGATACAAGGCGATCTGAATACACTTGTGATGTCGAGGACATTGCTGTACAGCTCCAAGGAAATTAGGGAAACGCTGCTCAGAAAAATATATGGAATCTGAATCATTATCTGGACGATGACTGCGTTGCTGGGCTCTCCTTTTAACAACCCACAGCTACAGAATGCAGCTAGTGAGGATGTACAACAAGGACTGCAAAAAATACCCCAAATGACCAGACAGATTGTGCCTGTGAGTGGGAAGGAGGCCTGCTTTGGTTTCACGCGATGTAACCCACAAAGGACACAGCAATGAAAGTACAGAGAGCCAGTAGGTATGACTGATAATTTCAGTTTTAGTTGAAGAAATGCTCTTCTTCCTCTCAGGTCTTCTGCAGAATTCTTTCTGATCATAGATCAAGCCCCAGGCTTCTCATGTTTTTTTCTTGAGTCTTTGCAGGTGTGGGACTATTTTCAAACGAAAGCAAGGATTAATATCCAAGTTATTTTGAGCTCTCCAAAAATGTTTCAAATATGTTGGTCTTTACAAAGCAGTGACACCCCAAATCTAATCTCTTTGTAGCAAAACACTCTCTTCAACTGACCTTCAGATTACTAGGGAGAAGGATAAGAAGTGAAATATGTTGCATCTTGATCCATTTTTAAATGAAGGTGGTATTTTTGGTTTAAAAACAGTTGTCTAAAAAGCCGTAATAACTTACATTACAATGGGAGGGAAAAACAAAATTGGTTACGTGTATCTTGACTGGTTTTCCATTTTTCTTGTAGCATCTGTTTGCGAGTGTCTGTAACGGAAGTTACGCCCTGGCTCGGTAAAGATGTTTGAACCGAGGACTGTCATAAAGGATTTAAAGCACAAGAGAGCGTGGGCACACGAGCAAGTGACCGGCGAACATTAATGAATGGCGACTGCTCAGGGCGAGCACGGGAGACGCCTGTGCGCTGCTCGAAGCGCTCCCCTTAACTCGTTTGCGGTTTCAGCAACCGAAGGCCTTGCTAAGCGCCTGGCCGACATTAAACTCGCTGCC